TCGAGGCCGAGGCTGCCAGACATGTCAGCCCCGATCCTCCCTTTTGCTACCTGGGAAAGGAGCGCCAAAACAAAGCTCCTTTCCCAGGTGGCAAAAAGGGCATCCGAAGAGCTGCCATGTGGCTTTTTTGCACCTCTTCGGGCGCAGCGTGTAAAAATGCTGCGCCGGGAGGACATCCTGACAGCAGGTGCCTCGGGAAGGGGTTGGGGCGCCTGGCATGTGGCTGCCCCCTCCTTCCCTGCCTCCAAGTCGGCACTTTGCACCGTCTGTATAGGCCCTTAGATAGCTGACTGACTTAAACACAATTATTAACCTATGACAACTGTGGGTTTTATCTTGTTCCATATATTTTACCATGGGTAATAACACCACTACCCCCAACAAAAACCTGGGGGGGAAGGATTTTAGAAACAAAGTACATGTCATAAAATTAAGCAGTAGATCACATGCATATTGAAATATTGCTGGATGTACACAGGTTGAACAGATGTTTGAGAACATGAATCAACTGGGGCAGAGCAGATGTCAGTAGTTACTTGAATTTAACTGCAAAAGTCAAATTTTGCTGCACTAAGTAAAAACTAACAAAGCAACACATGGATATACATATTGGGTTTTTTTAAAACCCATTTTTTAAAAATCCATTTTATTTGCATATTCCTTGTGGTGTAGCTACAGGGAGGAGCAAAATGAAAACATTTCCCTCCATATAAGGATTCTGCACCTCATAAAATCTTTCTTCAGTCTCCCAAATGTCTAGCAGTGCAGTAACATAAAATTTCATTTGTGCAGTTAGCAACACAGTCTAGGCATCCAAAGAAAAGAGGCAGGCATAGCTACCATGCAAACAGAGAAAACATATGAGTTCTAAGTGTGAACAGTTTTCAGTGTTTCTCTCTCTGCAATATTAGGAATTTGGGGACTGCCAGAAAAATTCATGGGGGGCATAATTATTGTTTGGAGGACAGTATCTCCCCCATAGCTGTGTTGGTGTTGTGTTCCTTCAAGTTGCTTTCGACTTATAGTGACCCTAAGGTAATCCTATCCTGGGGTTTTCCTGGAAAGACTTGTTCAGAGGAGGTTTGCCATTGACTTCTCCTGAGGCTGAGAGCATGTGATTTGCCCAGGGTCACCCAGTGGATTTCAGGGCCAAGTAGGGAATCGAACTCTCATCTCCAGAGTCATAATCCCACACCCAAACCACTGTGCCATGCTGGCTACATCTCTGAATATTTCCCACTCCATCAAGACAGCTGTCTTTCTCGACTGGGACAATTTGGGGGTAAATTGTTGATACAAATGCTTTTTTGTATATAAAGGGGTGACATAGCCTTCTTGAATTAGTTAACAACGTAAAAGTTCTCCTTGTTACAGTTAGTTGTGCATACCTGTTACACATGTGTTGGACAGATGGAAGAATTCTACAAAATAGTTAGTTGACCATATGAGCATCAACAGTTTGTTTGTTGATTGCACTTATATACTGCCTTTCTCCCAAAATGGAATCCCAAAGTGGTTACAATAATTGAAAAAAGATCCAACTTTATTTACAAAAGTTAAAAAGTAATTGAACATGAACATCAAAAGTTAAAAAGTAATTAAACATCAACATGATTCAACAGCCTGGAAGCAGCCAACCGTGCCTGCAAGGGTAACGCAACCGTGGAAAAGCCTCCCATGCAGATCCCAATGTTTGCCCTGGTTTATATGTAAGAACATATGGTCTATCAAATAATATGGACTCAAGCTGGGTAGGGCCTTAAAGGCCAGAACCAGCACTTTTGAATTCTGCCCAGAAATGGACCAGTAGCCAATGTAGCTGTTTCACTGGGAGGAGTGGGGTTTATGTGATCCCTGTACCCAGCTCAGGTCAACAGTCCCATCCTAGCATTTTGGACCTGATGAAATTCCTGAACAGATTCCAAAGACAACTCCACACAGATCGTATTACAATATTTAACTGAACACAAAAGGCAATTGTCCCGAGTCATGTAACCATGTAGAAAATGAGAAATCTGTCCAAAAACTATTTCCAACTTAGATTGGGGGGAAATTGACCCTGTTATTTTGTTTGTAGCTGCTTAAATTGTGAATAGTGTAAATATTTATTCATTTAAACATTTATTTATTTATATGCTGCCATTCTCTCAGAAAGAGGCCCAAGGCAGTTCACAGATAAAAACAGTTTAAAACTTTACAATAAAAAGTTAAAAACAATTAAAATCATCTTATTAAAACAATATAAAATTGTATTAAACATGCAAAAAAAATTTTAAAGCATGTAAATCACACCTTTCCTCATAGTTCAGGTTAGCTTATGAAAATGGTAAAATGTTGTTGTTGGTTTTTTTAAAAAGCACGTCAATATATAAAAGAAACAAGAATAAAGACCAACAAAAATAATTTAAAAGCATCTGGAGTATTTGTTGCAGCCACTGCTGGACTGTGACCCTTATGGAGCAATCCTAAAGATGTTTACTCAGAAAACCAACGTGTGCATAGTATTGCAATCTACTCATGACTGACCAAGTCTCCAACATACTTTTGTGCTTCTATGTTATCATCTTTGAATCTATCCAAAGAAAAGTGTATTTACAATCAGCTAGGTCACCTCTGAATACCACTTTCAACTATTTGGTACACATACCCTCCAACATTTCACACATGAAAGCAGGACATGTGTCCAAACAACACCAGAGTTTGTGGTCAAGATGGCAAAATGTATTAACCAGGAATAATTAATAATAATAATAATAATAATAATAATAATAATAATAATAATAATAATAATAATAATAAATTCATTTATAACCCGCCCCTCTGTGAACAATCGAGGCAGCTAAGAACAATTAAAATTACTTAAGGTCTTTGCAGACTGCCAGAAATAGTACAAATTAAGTCTACTTTATCTGCCCTGACTCAGTGCTAGGGAATCATGGGAACTGTAGTTTATTGTGGCACAAGAGCTCTCTGACAGAGAAGGCTCAATGTCTCAAAAAAATACAATTCCCATGATTCCCTAGCATTGAGCCAAGACAGTTAAAGTGGACTCAGTTTGCACTATTTCTAGCAGTCTGCAAAGGCCCTTTCAGCGTAAAACCAGAAAAACCGAATAATCATCCCCCACTTAAAAAAGTATTAAACCAAACACTAGTTAAAACATATAGATTAAAATGACATAGAATATAAATAACATACGCTACAATATATCAATAATAAAATAGAGCAAACAGAGTAGCGGCAGGATCCAAAATGGGAAAGGGCAGAATAGCTAGGAGAGGCTGCAGCACTTTGCTTTTTCCTGAGCCTGCTGGGGAAGGCAAAAGCAAAGATCCTGTCCTCCTCTCCTCTCCCTGTTGTTGTTGTTGTTGTTGTTGTTGTTGTTGTTAGCTACCTTCAAGTCAATCTCAACTCATGGTGACACTGTGAATGAGACATATTCAAGCCCTCCTGTCCTCTAGTTCCCTGCTCAGGTCCTGCAGGCCCAGATCCATGGTCTCCCTGATTGAGTCTATCCATCTGGGCATGTGGTCTTCCTCTCTTTCTACTGTCCTCTACCTTCCCCAGCATCACAGCCTTCTCTAATGAGTCATGCCTTCTCATTATGTATGACAGCCTCAGTTTAGTCATCTTCTCTTCCAGGGAGAGTTTAAGCTTGATTTGTTCTAAGGGCCTCGGCAGACGGCTTAAAAAGCCGTCCTTGAGGCAAGGAAGAGGAGGGGCAGCCACACACTCGGCGCCCCTTCCTCCTCCCGAGGTTGCCCTTGGAGCCGCCGGCCCTCCGCACGGCCAGCGCTCCAAGGGCAACCTCCCGCCGCAGCATCCGGACACGCTGTGGCGGAAAAGTCAGTGAAAGTGTGCCGCAAGCTTTTGCAGCGCACTTTCACTGACTTGTGAAAGGAGCACTGTTTTAGCGCTCCTTTCAGGGGCAGCGAAGGTGCACCGCTGGATCGAGGCGTGGGGATGCCTCGGTCCTGTGGCACACCTTCCCAGGGCGGCCCCGTGCCGCCAGTCTGCTTCCCCCCTAAGACCCATTTGTTTGTCCTCTCCTTACTGCTGAATTAAATGAGTCCAGACTACTGAGAGCAGTTTGAATTCTCTTTGCAGCAACTGGAGCAGGGGGAAGGTGGAAGAAGGAAAGAAAAACTGGGACATTTTCAAAGCAGATGAACAAATCACACAACAGAGGATTAATAGGTACTTCCTTGACAAATTGGAACAGCGGGGGGAATAGGCACCCTTGACAGCCTTGGGTGAACTTTTGTTTGTCTGGGTCAGATGGTAGCCTCCTAGGCCAACACTTCAGCACCCTCAGAGTTATTTTGACATAGGAAATAGTATAAATTGAGTCCACTTTAAGGGTTAGGGTTAGTGCTAGGGAATCATGGGAATTGTTTTTTTTTCCCTGAGACATTGAGCCTTCTCTGTCAGAGAGCTCTGGTGCCACAATAAAATACAGTTCCCATGATTCCCTAACCCTAACCTTAACCCTTAAAGTGGACTCAATTTGCACTATTTCTAGCAGTCTGCAAAGGCCCATAGTTCTTCTAGACTAGCTTGGAAGAGTAGCAGGCTGAAAGTAGCACATATGAAAACTGACATTTCTGACACTTCATTGGAGGCTTCTATGGTGCCTGCTGTGCTGTAAACGAATCTGTAGTTCTGAAACTTTTATTTCATAATGTGAAACGTTCCTCTGGAAAATATCTGTCTTTTTCTTAGACAAGACAGTCAGTTTTGTCTGTCTATTGCTATGACAATATAATACATAACATAGATAAATCATTGGTACAACAGTGCAAAGATAAATCAGTCATCTGCTATATAACTGAATCCACATTTGTAGTTTCTAGCACAGATGCTGTTTTTCTGGTTCCCCGCTAGATGGCCTAGATACCCTACTTGTTTTTCAAGAATAACAACTAAAAATATTTATTTCATAAAGCTGGAGGTCAGACTAACCTAATGGATTTTGGAGCAACGAAACTGTTGAAAATGAATAACAGCTGTCTCTTCAGGTTTTCTGTTTAAGAAGGAAAAAAGCCCTAACTTCTGAGAAGCAAGATTTTTGTTTTTCTGTGACTATTTCTTTGTCATTATGAAAGCAAGATGACTTTTTTAGTAAGCTACAACTTCTTGAAAAGGCATTGAAAAATTAAGCTTTTATATCTTTATGAAAATGAAAACAAGCAGCTACTATTGAGTAGATCTAAAATATTGTTTACTTTTTCCCAAGAGCGTACGATCTATCCTATACCATACAGAGTCTGCATGTGAACCGGGGTTTATTAAAGGCAACTATTTAATAAAACCAGCACCTAATCCTGACTACTGTTGAATGAGTTTCAGTAAAATGCAAAGGAGTCAATGGCAGTAGATGGCACTCTCCTGTGAGTATTGCTTCTAGTGCATCCTTCATTTCCAATTTTCTGCTTTCTCTTAACTGTTCTGACCTATCTGAAAAACAATGATAATAAACCAAGGGTTGACAAATGGACAATACCCTAGAAAGCACTCTAGAAATGTGATTTATTGTTGCTGCCATGATTTTCTTTGCATCTGATTAAAAAGAGGAGAGGGCCATTTTTAGCTACATCTGGTTATCTAGGCTATCAAAATGTTATTTTATTGAAAATAGGAATCTGGAACAAGCTTCCCAGGGCTGAAATCCACATTTTCTCTGTTATGGATCTCGAGCCAATCTTCCGAAGAAGCTAAATTATGCACTTGCTTAAGATTGCAAAAATTCTAGGAGGGAATCAAAATGTCAAAATACAGAGTGAACAAATGATAAGATCCAGAGTTAGTGCTAGCGTATTGGCTAATTTACAAATAGCCTGTAAAACACTGAGAGCAGTAGGAAGCCAATATGTCAGCTATGTTAATCTGTTTCAGTATGAAAAGGAAAGCTGGATGAAGGGAGGCATCTAGCAGTGCCTGTGCAAATAACTTATTTATTTTGTCATGAGCTTTCTTGGATTTGAGTCCATTTCTTCAGCTGCAGTTATATCAAAAAACTTTGTACTCAAAGTTCAGTATGCATGGGCAGATATCATGTGTGGCTGAACAGGGCACAAAACCCAAATGTCTGATCATTCATATGCTTTCCCCTTTTCAATACATTCTTCTATACAATTGACATATACTGATGATAATCTCCTCCCCCCCCCCCCCCCCCCCCGGCTTCCCCAAGGGTTGGGCAGCTGTGCATTTTGCCA